ACAGATTTCTGTGTGTTAATTTTGTATCCTGCAAATTTGCTGTATTCCGATATCAGTTCTAGTAGTTTTGGAGTGGAGTCTTTAGGGTTTTTTATGTACAATATCATATCATCTCCAAATAGTGACAGTTTAAATTCTTCTTTACCAATCTGGATTCCTTGTATTTCTTTGTTTTGTCTGATTGCCGTGGCTAGGACCTCCAGTAGTATGTTAAATAACAGTGGGGAGAGTGGGCATCCCTGTCTGGTTCCCTATCTCAGAGGAAATGTTTTCAGCTTCTCACTGTTCAGTATAATGCTGGCTGTGGGTTTATCATGTATGGCCTTTATTATGTTGAGGTACTTGCCCTCTAGTCCCATTTTGCTGAGAGTTTTTATCATGAATGGATGTTGAATTTTGTCAAATGCTTTTTCAGCATCTAGAAACATTTCTATTTTTATGTGAACTTGGTGATTTGAAAAATCACCATTATCTCTATTACTTCAAATACTGTACCTTATTGTACTTCAAAAACAAATAATCTTATTCTAAAAATAATGTCTTTCTAATTTAAACAAATTTTTATTTGTTTTTAAACAAATAATATGCTTTTATTTTAAACAAATAAAAAACTTTTATTTTAAACAAATAATATGCTAAAATAATTAAGCATTTTAAATTAATACTTCTCAACTTAAAAAAAAAAGGTGAAGTACTCTTAGATTGTAAGTTAATTAGAAGCATTTCTGGTACCTGGTAGACATCTAGTTGTCTGTCGAATGAAGGCTTTCAACACTTAATATGTTTCGTTATGGTTAGAACTTTGCATTTTTACTTTAATGCCTTCTTCTGTTTTCGTGTAGCCAAACATTTCAGTAATGCAGAGTCCTCTTGGTGCTATGACAACTACTCCTGGAACAGGTAAGTAATGCCTTTTAACTTCGAAGACTATTCTCCACTTTGTGAATAAAAATGATATAAGATCTTTGTTCATAATTGCAAAATTTTTTCTTTCATATTTAAAACTCCACAACTTACTCCATGTTAGTAACTTCATTTAGGAGGGAAATGCTTTGTATATTAATTATTTTTCTGAATTTATAGTTAGGATGTGATATTCCACTCAAAATATTAAGAATTAAATAAATTATACAATGGTGTCTCTTGACTTATTAAAACTAATTTTAAAAAGAGTTGTAGCAATTGGGAAGAAAAGGAATACAGAGAGTAAACAATAAAAAGTATTTTGAGAGCTGTTAGTGCATAACAATAAATCTAAATGTCATGGACTATATGCAGCCTCTGATTATATCTAGTTTTTCCTTAAGATTAATGGTATTTTTTATCACCATCATAATCATTTGCGCAATTCTTACATATTCATGTATTTGTCATCTATTAAATGTTCATTTAACAAATATTTGAGCACATAACTATGTGCCAGGACCTGAAAAATTGAACAAAATAGATGACCCTTGCCTTTATGGAGCTTACATATATAGACTTCACAGAATTTACATTTATAAATAAACTAAGGGCATAAGGATTTAATAATATGGGTAACTGTTGAACCATCGTGTTGTTATTTGAAACCAGTATAAGATTGTATATCAATGATACTTCAATTTAAAAAATGGTAAAAATAAATAAACCGAGTAAATCTTAAAGTTTGTTGAAAAGTATTATATTCTATATGGAGGAAAATTAAGCAGCAAAGGGGAGTAGAGTGTGAGAGCTTATAATTTTTAATAGGGTAGCTGTATTAATTCTCTGTTGCTACTATAATAAATTACCACAAACTTGAAAGTGGCTTAAACAATATGTATTATTTTACAGAGGTGGAGGTCTGAAATGGGTCTCTGTGGGCTAAAAGCAAGGCATAGGTAGGGAGGGCTGTGTTTATTTATAGAGGTTCTGGAGGGCAATCCTTTCTGTCTTTTAGAGACTGCCCACATTTCTGTGCTTGTGGTCCCCTACCTCCATCTTCAGTGCCAGCAATTTTGCTTTGCATCTTTCTGACCAACCATTCTTCTGCCATCACCTCTCCCTGTCTCTCTCTCTCTCTTTTAAGGACTCTTGTGAGTACCTTGAGCCCTTTTGGGTAACTGAGGATGGTCAGCTGATTAGCTGCCTTATTCTATATGCAATCTTAATTCTCCTTTGCTGTATAATGTAACATTCCTATGTTCCAGGATAAGGTCATGGACATCTTTGGGGGGCTATTCTGCTTTAAACAGTTAGGGTTTAAGTAACATTTGCTTAAAAATCTGAACAAAATTAAGGGAGGTAGGGAAGGTAAGGTGTTCTAGACAGAGGAAGTAGCAAGTACAATGGCCCTGAGGTGGGAGTGTATCTGTTGTGTTCAAAAGTGAAGACGCTAGTGTGAAATGGGGTGAGTGAGGGGGAGACTAGTAGGAAATGAGGTCCGAAAGTTAATGGGGGCTGATATTACAGAGCCTTGTAGGTCATTGTATCAAATGGTCTTTATCCAAAAAAGGTGGAAAACAAGATAGGGTAAGACTGCTGTTGTGCAAGAACTGACTTTGGGGGAAGGGGCAAATGTGAAAGCAAGGAGACCAGATAGGAGACTACTGCATTCATCTAGGTGAGAGATGTAAAGGAAAGTTGGAAAAGAATATGGAACAGAAACAATAGCAAGGCAGTAGATTAAAAATGAACCAATCAATGATTATATAAAATGCAGTGTTCTAAATACTCCAGTTAAAGGGCAGAGGTTGTCAGAATAGATAACAAAAGTTGTATTCACTGACAAGTTGGATCTTTTTATCCTGCAAATCCAGATTTCTTCAACAGTCTGTATCCTCACTGTCAGTGTCCTTAAAGTCTAGATTTCTACTATCAGTTTAATAAACGCTACTTAGGCTTTTTCTGTAGTGCTCCTCAGATTTCTTTAGTATTCATCCACTGCCTAGTCCAAAGCCACTTCCACATGTTTAGTTATTTGTTACAACAGCACCCTACTTGTAGTACGAAAATCTGTGTTAGTTTTAAATTGCTGCCGTAACAAATTTATCACAAATTTAGTGGCTTGAAACAACACAAATTTATTATTTCAAGTTTTCCACAGGTCAGATGTCGAGGCCCAGCTTGGTTCTTTGCTTTAGAGCTCAGGTGTCAACAGTGCTGTGTGGAAGCTCTTGGGGGTGAATATGCTTCCAAGTTCACTCAGGTTATTGGGTGAACTCAGTTCCATGTGTTTGTAGGTTGAGGCCCCTGTTTCTTTGTTGGTTGTCACCTGGAGGGTGGTTCTCAGCTTCTAAAGGCTGCTCTCACTCCTTGGTTCATGGCTCCCCTTACATCTTTGAACATGACAATAGCAGATTAAGTCCTTTTTTATGATTTGAATTTCCCTGATGTCCGTCTTCTGTAGTATCTCTGACCTGACTTTTCTGCCATCTATTGCTAGTAAGGACTCATTTGATTACATTGGGCCCACTGGAATAATCCAGGGTAATTCCTTATGTAAGATCAGCTGATTACTAACCTTAATTCTGTCTGCAGAGACCCTTCACAGCAGTGCCTGCATTAATGTTTAAGAATAACCAATCAAATTACAACAGCAGTTTTGCAGGTAATATCTATAAATTTCTGTCTGCCACATATATCATTGTAAATCTAGGATGTCACCTCAATCTCCGTACATACTTGAGGAGTAATGTAGAATTAGTTGAGGTTTTCACAACTTTAGTTTGATCAAATACATAGGTACATGACAATGCTTTTTTTAAAAATTTTTAAAAAATTTTAGTATCATTAATCTACAATTACATGAGGAACATTATGTTTATTAGACTCCCCCTATCACCAAGTAGCCCCCACAAACCCCATTACAGTCACTGTCCATCAGCGTAGTAAGATGCTGTAGAATCACTACTTGTCTTCTCTGTGTTGCACAGCCCTCCCCGTGCCCCACCCCACATTATACATGCTAATCGTTATGCCCCCTTTCTTCCCCCACCCTCCTTATCCCTCTCTTCCATCCATCCTCCCCAGTCCCTTTACCTTTGGTAACTGTTAGTCCATTCTTGGGTTTTGTGATTCTGCTGCTGTTTTGTTCCTTCAGGTTTTTCTTTGTTCTTATACTTCACATATGAGTGAAATCGTTTGGTACTTGTATTTCTCCGCCTGGCTTATTTCACTAAATATAATACCCTGTAGCTTTATCCATGTTGTTGCAATTGGTAGGATTTGTTTTCTTATGGCTGAATAATATTCCACTGTGTATATGTACCACCTCTTCTTTATCCATTCATCTACTGATGGTCACTTAGGTTGCTTCCATTTCTTGGCTATTGTAAATAGTGCAGCGATAAACAGGGGCGCATGTCTTTTTCAAACTGGAGTGCTGCATTCTTAGGGTAAATTCCTAGAAGTGGAATTCCTGGGTCAAGTGGTATTTCTATTTTGAGCTTTTTGAGGAACCTCCATACTGCTTTCCACAATGGTTGAACTAA